TTCTTGTTAAGTAGAATTGCCAGATTGGTAGAATGAGCAATACCGAGAACTGATGTGTCTTGACTGTAATAGAACATTTGAAAAAATCTTCTGCAATACCTTTTGGAGAAGATGATAAAATATGGACTGGATGGAAATATTCCTAGGAGGAAACATTGCTTGTTTATAAGCCTTGCTCAAAGAATAATTAATAGGCTTGGCAGTTGGGAATGTGATCTGTGATAGTCAGCAAGCCTTGTGTTTAAGCCTTGTCCTGAAACAAAATTCTAATAATTTGATTAATGCACAGCAGATGGGCTTATTCCGTGTGTATGTGGCAGAAAGCTAGGAGGATTAACTCCTCTGATAGGAGGGGTTCCTATCACATTCAGAATAGACTTTGAGAACTGAAATGTGGAGCTATAATCACACACACGCACACATATCTGTGCATGCAAGTACACAAATGCATGGTGGAAACACAACTAAGAAAAATTTTAATGTTCATGACTGGAAAAAAATTGAAAAACATAGTTTTTGACATTATTATCAGTTAATAATAATGAGGTATTGGTGTAATACAAGTACTTGTCTGTCATAGTGTGTAAGAGCGCAGACTTTGAAGCTGGGTCCTGCAGGGTGTCAGCCCCAGCTCTTTTGCCTAGGAGCTGTCTGACTATGACCGAGCTACCTGGCCTTTGGAAGCTTCAGTTTTTGCTTTTATATGAAATGGAGATTAAAATAATAACTACAGGGCCGGCCCGGTGGCGCACTGGATAGTGCGCCGCTTGGGAAGCGCGGCGGCGCTCCCGCCCGAGGGTTCGGATCCCACATACAGACCGGTTCCCGCTCACTGGCTGAGCGAGGCGCGGGAGCAACGCCGAGGGTTGCGATCCCATTGCCGGTCCCCGGTCCGGTACGGGGGCAACACTGAGGGTTGCGATCCGTTGCCGGACACGGAAAAAAGACAAAAGACAAAAAAACAAACAAACAAAAAATAATAATAATAACTACAGCCAGAGGGTTGTTATAAGGGGAAAATAAGAATAGGAAGGTAACTTTTTTTTTAAAAAAAAGAATGAAAATCCCTCAATTTGAGGCTATATGAATAATATCTGTGTGTGTAAATCAAATACTGGTAGTTAATGATAAGGAAAACTCTGGTCATTTATCACTGAATTTTAACAGGGACATTTAGAAAAAGCTAGTGAACGTTAAAATCAGGGTGTGCAGGGAGACTGGAGAGTCTGAAAGACAAGTGAAGGAACTGTAGAAGGTGAGGTTAAGGGGAATCACTGTCTGCAGAGACTTAAACTGTCATGCACAGTAGAGCCAATTGCTCCAGTGCATCTAGAACCTATTTATATAGGACTAATGAGGGTAAGTTATAAAAAGAAAACATTTTTTTTTCTTTGAGTAGGATATTAATTAAAGGTCAAAGATTGGAAATGGTGCATTTTATCATTATATAATTTGGCAGGGAGGTGGCATGTTTGTGCATGTTGTGCCTTTGCAACTAAATTGGGAGCTTTTCAGGGCCAGAGCTTTATTGTTAACTTTTTATTCCCTTAGTAATTGCCAACAGTAATTACTTAAGGAAAATTTGGTGAATAAACTAATGAATGAATAATACATACATGTGAGAAACTCTTACTACATGAGTATTAGCAACTTAAACATGGCCAGTAGAGAAAACGTTTAAAAACAGAAGTAAAAAACAACTTTAAAATCTCTTTTAAAAATGGGTTTCCTGGGCCGGCCCGGTGGTGCACTGGAGAGTGCGCCACTTGGGAGTGCGGTGGCGCTCCCGCTGAGGGTTCGGATCCCAT